TCATCCTGATTGGCGCGCTGTTGTCGACGTTCGGCGCCGCGCTTCAGTCACTGATTGGTGCGCCGCGTCTTCTGCAGGCCATCGCGAAGGACTCCATAATTCCCTTCTTAGAGCCCATCGATTACGTCAACAAACGCGGAGAACCCGTCAAAGCGATCGTCGTGTCTCTCATCATCGCCGAGTGCGCCATCTGTGAGTAGTCGCGGCATAAGTGGTCAACGGCTTCTTACTCCTCTCTCCTAGTGATCGGGAACCTGGACTTCATCGCTCCCATCCTCACCATGTTCTTCCTCATGTGCTACATGTTCCTCAACCTCGCGTGTACTGTGCAGTCGCTGTTGCGGTCACCGTCGTGGCGCCCGCGCTTCCGCTACTTCCATTGGTCCATTTCGCTCGTCGGCATCTTCCTCTGTCTCCTCGTCATGTTGCTCTCCTCCTGGGTCTACACCCTCTGCGCGATGGCTCTCGCGGCCTTCATCTACAAGTACATCGAGTACAGGGGCGCCGAGAAGGAGTGGGGCGACGGCATCCGCGGACTCGCCCTCTCGGCCGCCCGCTTCTCCCTCCTGCGGCTCGAGGAGGGCCCCCCGCACACCAAGAACTGGAGACCGCAACTCCTTTGTCTCGTGAAACTGAACGCCGAAACTCTGGACGTAAAGGCGCCGAAACTGTTGACAATTGCGTCGCAACTGAAAGCCGGAAAGGGATTAACGCTTGTGTCGAGTGTTTTGGAGGGACAGTTCGAAACGGACGCCGGTTTGGCGCAAACGGCGCGCCAATCCCTGCGCCACCACATGGACAGAGAGCGCGTGAAGGGCTTCGCGGAAGTCGTGGTCTCGCGTGACGTGACGTCCGGTCTCTCGCATTGCGTGCAAACGGCGGGTTTGGGCGGTTTGAAACACAACACTGTGATGATCGCGTGGCCGCACAAGTGGCGCCACTCGACGTCACGTGACAAACACAACCGCTTCCTCTCATTGGTGCGTTCGGTGACGGCCGCGAACGCCGCGCTCGTCGTCGCCAAAGGGCTCCAACAGTGGCCCGAAAACAACGACCGTTTGGGCGGAAATATCGACATTTGGTGGATCGTCCACGACGGCGGACTGGTAGGCCTCTGACCGCTCTTTCCCACTTCTCACCTCCCGTTCCTCCCGCAGCTCATCCTCCTGGCCTACGTGTTGTCGCAACACCGCACGTGGCGTTCCTGCGCGCTCCGTGTCTTCACGGTCGCGCAATTGGAGGACAATTCGGTGCAAATGAAGAAAGATTTGGAGAAATTCTTGTATCACTTGCGCATCGAAGCCGTCGTCGAAGTCATCGAAATGTCGGACTCGGGTTCGTTGACCTCTCAATGGATCTCAATGTGATGTCATTAACCCCTCTCCCGCAGACGTGTCGGCCTACACCTACGAGCGCACCATTTTGATGGAACAAAGGACGCAAGTCTTGCAAACGATCGCCGGAAACGAATTGCAAACCATTTCCGCCGCAAACGATCTCAAACCCGACG